CGATTCGACGAAAAGGACTCAGTCCTAAATTACAGTCACCTTGGGATGGTCGCACACATCCTAAACAGGCTAAATGACGTCGTGGTTCGGATCCGTGAGTCTTCGAACTCTTACGACAGGTTAGCTCATTACTATGGCCATAGTACGTAATGTAAAATAATTGTAAATAGTATCAAGACCATGGTCCTTTTTGTTTATAAATTTTATTTGTATGTGATTTGTATTTAGTATTGTTTTTGTATTTGAATTTGATAGCATTTGATTTGTTTAAGTTAGTTATTGCATTTATTGTTTATGTTGTTTGATATTGTAATGTAATGTTTATGTCTCAGTTGCATTTATGCCACAGTTGTAAGTTTAGCTTCCTGTCCAGGGATTGTACTGCCCGGGACGTTGCAGTCCTTGGGAAGGGGGCAGTGTTACGAATTTGGTATTTAAAAAGCTAATGTTAGTTCAATTATAAATTAAATGGTTTTATTTCTCGCGCAGTGCAGCGCGTGACGAATATTAAAAGAAAGCTAAGCCGGAAAAATTAAAAATACAAGAGCGCGTGCATTAAATAAATAAATATCTCTTTTTGATTTCGAGAAAGTACTGGAAAATTCTAGCGCGTGATTTTAAAATCTTATAAAAGGAGGAAAACATCTCAGTTTGTAGTAGTTGCTTAGTTTGTTGTTGTTTAGAAAACTGCTCTTGTTGATTGTAGCGAATTCGCGGATTAGCGTTCTTTAGCTGTTTTGAATTACGTTCTATTGGACATTTGAGTAGTTAAAAGATAACTACTGTGAGATATTGTAATACTGCATGATAATTTGAGAAAATTTAAGCATTTTTGTTGTGATAATAATAAATTTTTGTTCATTTTTCATTGGACTTGTGCATTCATTTCGTAACGAACCCGTACGCACGCAACAATATTAATGTTTACAAAAAAATCTTTTTACTATAACAAAGATAGCAGCTTGACACTCAACTTTACCTACATAAGCGCCATCTATATAATTTGAAGAACACACTTACTTCTTTTTCACAACACTTTTGCAGACCCCAACACTCATATAGTAGGTAAGTTAAATTAAAACTTACTATTTACTTGCTTTAAGTATTTTTTTAAAAAATTTTATGTAGTATCTAAGTATTTTCTAAATATGAAATTATATTTTAAATATATTTGTTTTTTAAAAAATTGTGAATTAGTTCTTTTTGTTTCTTATTGGTTTATATGGATTATGTACAGTTCTTTTATAGTTTCTTTTTATTGATATGCATATTCGTGTAGGGGAAGTTTCTGTAGACAAGGATTCTAAAATACATTGGTTTCTAGATTTTTTATTATTATTTTGTAAAAAATAAATTTTAAAAAATTTAATTTTTTAAGAAAAAGTTTAATTCTTGACTTTACTTGCTTGTTACTCAAAAGACTTCATTAGTATTTTCCTTTTTGAACTTTAATTCTTAAATGTTAATACTTAAATGTTAATTTCTAAGGGTACCACTTTATTGGAATTACTTTTGGTTTTGACTTTTACCCTTGCCTGCATGAATGACGAAACACGAATTGAATGATTGGAGAGTTAGGTATGAAGGCAACTTCCCCTTGATAAGTCTGTCTCCTGCCTACTCTACGGTCATTCACATATGCATTTTAAAAAAAAAAATGTTTAATTTAATTTTAATTTATTAAATTAGTAATTTATTTCATGGATAGATTTGCACTTGATTTGCTTATGCTTCTGAATTTAAATGATATTGTAGATTAGTTTCGAGAATTAAATCTTTTACATGTTTGCACATTATTTTAAAAATTATTTTAAATTATTTTGGCTTTTCTCCTTTTTTTTAGAATTTAAATTTGCTTTTTTACTTTTATACGTATTTATTAAGAGTTTAAATTTGTTTAAATATACTATAAATCAGATATATATATATATAATTACAAAACAATCTTTTTAAAAACTATAATATAATCATGCTTAGTATTTTCGCGCATTAAACAAATACAATATTATCTTATTAAAATTATCAAGCAAATTAAAATTTTAAATTATGTAAATTCAATTGCAGCAAAATAAAATGATTAATTATTACTGCGAGCTAATTTGCAATGATACTATATATATAAATTATATATACATCATTTGAGAAATATAAGTCAAAAAGTTTTTCTATTTTATTTTTGACCAAAATAATTTTTTAAGTAATTTCAAAGTATGATAATTTTTTAAGAGTCTTAATAAAATACAGTAATTCAGTCGAATTAGAAAAAATCTCTTGCTTCGGGAAAATTCCACATAATCATAATTCTTCAGGGAAGGCTTTTTAAAATTTTTTATCTCTTCGCAGAATATCACAAATATAAAATTTTTGACTAAGCGCAAACAAATCTCAAAATTTTATAACATATTAATTTTTATATTTATAAAATACATATTTGTAAGATACATTAATACATAAAATATGTTTTAACATTTTTATAACACATATTTTAACAATTTTTAAAATTTTCTTACATAAATATAGTAATATTCTTATTAAAATTATGATTTAATTGTTGTTATATTTCATTCATAATTCCTTCTTATACGAAACTGAATGGAACCGCAGTACTTCAAATTTAAATGTATCCATGTAAAATTGGGCATATCCATATTAAATGACTGATGTGCTTATTCGACAGTAGTTAAAAGAATGGTGGGCAGCTGTGGCGTAGCTAGGGGGGCCAAGAGGACACATCTGTCCCCAAGCACAGCATCCATGAGGCTACAAATTAATGTTACGAAATTTTAGAATGAAATATTTTCCATTCTTGGCAGTTACAGGGGGGTACGAAACCTTCTATTGTGCCCGGACGCTGAAAATCCTAGCTACGATTCTGCAGGGTAGTTACTTATAAAGGCCTCCGTTCCTTACATAAGGTAACTGGCCTTTGAAAACTGCACTAAAACATTTCATTATAAAAGATCATTCTTTCACATATAAAAAAATATACTCAATCATAAAATGTGAGACTTTTCCTTGTACGAGGAGAGTAAAAGTAACAGTTATACAGTGATAACAACAGGCTTGTGTTTCTGAAACAGTACTTCCTCAACATACACTGCTTTTACAATCTTTAAAATTTTATACTCATTGTAACAATATACAGTATAGTAATATTTAATAGTTTCAATATATTATAACTCAAAACTCAATTGTATATTATTTCCTATACTAACATTCAAAATTATATTCGTATTTCGTATTCATCTCATTTTCACAATAATAAGAAAATTCTTAAAATTCGAATTTAAAAAAAAAATTTCTTCTTGAAATAATCCCGAAATTCTTAATATTAATTTTAACAATAATTCAAAAATATAACTATATACGTAATGGAAATTTTAATAACCTTCCCTAAATAAAATGATTTTAAAATTTATTGCTTAATTTATTAAACATAATTATTAAATATTAAATTTCTGATACCTAAAATTTTTATTTTTTATTTTTATAATACATACATAATCAGTATAGACAAAATGTAAGGAATTTAGGACCAATTCCACAATGACCCAAAAGAAGTGAAAATTCAGCACCGGTAAATTTTAAAATTTCCTATAAATATGTAAAATAAACCTAAGTTAGAAGAATTAAAGAAGTACAAAAACCACAAAAATAAATGCATAAGAAGAGGAATGCAATCAAATCTGATATAACGTTATCAAGAGGACGTACATCAAACTCATCTGAACCCCTTCCCCTCCCTCCAAAAAACCACTGCGTTTCTGTTATCCAAAATTAGCTGATTAACTATTCTAAATTATATAACTATAATAGTTCACCGAAAATTTTGAATTCCTCCCCGATGCACTGTTAATTTTTATAGAAAACAACAAACACAAATCCACAATAAAAATTCCAGAGTCAAACAAAGCAAAAGAAATAAGACACTTTTTACAAAATTTAAAATTGAAATTAATGTAATAATACAAAATACTAATAAAATAACAAAGAACATGAATTTAAAACAAACTCATTGGATGCAGAGGCAGTCCGTTAAAGATGTACATTAATCATGGCCACGTGAAAAAATCATAATGTTAAAAAATTAAGTACGCTTTTACAATGGAGTTTAAGATTAAAATTAAAAGTGAAAAAAAAATTGAAATGAAAATATAAAAAACACATAAAATACTAGAAATTAACCGAGAACAAATCAAATTACTAATTTCAAAACAAATTTAGATTATACCTGCTCTAGAATATGCACATTTGATATCTCTGAGAAAGAAGGAGCAACGCAGTAGTAGTTTAGAAGGCCTGAGAAACAGAAACGAAATGTGCTGTGTTCAGAAAAAAAAAAAAAAAAAAAAAAAAAAAATCTTAACTCAGAATGCTTCAATTTCGATTCGGTTAGTTTCTATTTCGATGTTACTTTAATTGGATGATTAACAAAGCTCTAAAATTATTATTGTCTGAAAGCTTATGTACGAGTAAGTTATTTTCGTCATAGCGTTATATATATGTCATATGACACTGATTAATCTAGAAATGAATTATTATTCCAAAGAAATAAAAGTAATTACTAGTTTTAGAACAGAAGGGGGAAATAATCAAATTAAAATGAAGAATTAAGGAGCTATTGCAAATTGAAGCTAGAATTTTTATTTAACATATTTTTATCTTACGTTTGAAGGCGGGATCTTTAAAAGAGACAAAAGGCTGGCGACAGGGAAATCTTTTTAAGAAATAAAACATTCATTGTCAAATGAAGAAAAAGCAAGTTGAAAAAAATATATGCTTGTGTGTGTTTGTAATTACATCACACGATAATGTATTGTACAGAATGGAATACTTAACATTTCGTTGAGCCAGATGCTTTTCAGCTTCTTCAGCTATTATCCATTCAAGACTAATAACATAAACAGTAATAATTGTGAAGTACATTATTTTTACTAATAGTTATATTAACTTGTTAGCCTTTCCTATCCTTTCTGATTTCTGTCGCGTTTCCTCGCCAGGATGTAAACTGGAGTCAACGAGAGAAGCTGAAGTCCTAAAAAGGTTAGTCAGTGCCTTCGTGGTGTAGTGGTTCGGCACCCTGGGCCGGTGTTTTTTCCAGAAAGCGGTCCAATGCATTCACATAGAAAAATTAAAGGTGTTCGACTACATCTTACTACTGGAAGACAAAAGAACTACGGCCGCTTGCGGCACATCTTGTTCGAGACGGGAACTTCCCTGCTTAATGTAGGATAATACTGTCAATAATTGTAAATAGTGTTCATAAACTCCGTATTTATCCTTCTTATATCATTATTTAGTATTTATCTTATATGTATCCTGTATTCAATTATAATATTGTATTTATGTATAAATAAAATGTGTCTTTTGAGATCTTGCAGGTTTTCCCGCAATTTCGTTTTGTCAAGTCTTTAATGACTGTACAACAGTACAAATTCATGATTCAACTACCCAGCACTGCTTCGTCTTGTCGCGCGTTTTATTGTCTTGCCTTTCTTAGGCTTGCGGCCTCTTATTGTCACTCTTCTTCATCACCTCAATGCTTCAGTTTACCACGTCAGAATATTTAAAGTCATGTGCCTATTGGCAACTCTTCACGATCTGCAAACAGCGCGCTTCGTGCGCTATCTCAGCAATAAATTGTTTGTTTGATTGATTGAGGTTAGTCAGAGCGTGGTTTCGCTATTGTGAGCGGACGTTTTTAAATTCTACCAGCGGTTGAACTGTGAATCTCGGCTTCGCATTCTTGTTGCCGAATTAGCATCCCGCCGTATAGGTTTCTGAGTCAACCTATTAGGTTAAATTGAATTGTGTACGCTTGCACTACTATTCACCTTTGAATTTAGTTGTTCCAATACCCTTTTAAGATCCTCAGCACAAGTGGTTGTAACTGTTAAGCACATAAGTCCGTGCCCTCTGTAAACTATTTGTGTCCAATAAAAGGGTCTTTTACGCCCTTTCTTTGTTGTATTCATCTTCAAGTCTTTGTGAGAAATCGCAACATATACTTTTAAGTAGATCTAGTTATGTTAGTGAAGAAGACTAGATCCTACATTCTGATTACTTTCGTAGGATTACGCGTTGACAGTTTCAGACAAGATTAAAAACATATCCGTCTCGACTCTACCCAATGGATTTTTGAATCCTTAAAATAGATCGCCGGATGGAGAATAATAGTCAAATATAGAATAATTTCAAAAAGTAATAACCCTGCCGAATTTATTCGTCGGAATAGGTGTCAGTTTGTTGTGGAAGGACACAAGCGAAGATGAATATGAGCTCCTCCCTATATCAGCTATTTCTAGCAATTGCGAAAGCATTGGCGGTAATTAAGAAAGAATAGACTAATTAAAAATCCACGTGTTTTAGTAATTTAAACAACATATAAATGGCGATGGCAGTTGTTAATAGTTTTAACATCAAATAATGCAACAAAAATCTCAAAACAGTAACAATAATTAAAGTACTCTATATAATCTATGGTTCTTTTTTGGATTCAGAGGACTAGGTAATTCTTTCGAAGGAATACAGTACATGGTTGTAATAAAGTTATATAAAGTATGGAGTTTCGGAGCTAAATAAAATATGTATCGCTCCCAAAAACGCTGATATTTCTGAAAAACATTACTGACATGGATAAACTAGATAAAAAAAAATAATAAACTTCTTTAGTGTAATTTTTCCGAGAAAACATGCGCTGGCGTTCATTCGAATCATGCGTGGAAAAGGACCAGTGAAGGCGAAACCGGTAAGTGTTCCAGAACCTTGCTCGGATTGATGATGAGAAAGAAGTCACACTTGACCTTGAAAGTGAAGGTGAATGTCAAGAGAAGGCAGCAGGTGGGAAGGAAGGGGATTGGATTCCACGGGTGCAATGGTAAATGGAGGTCAGCAGACCAAACGTGCTGCTAGAATGCCTGATTGCTGTGACCTAAAAAAGTATTGTTATGTATTTATTTGTTCACAGGCAGAACTGATTGCACAACAGCGTTGATAAATTCTTAAAATCTCAGAACGTTTTGAAACGTTCATATTTGTCGAAATATAACATGTAAATAGAAAATTTCGCTAAATAAAGATTAATAAGCACTTAATAGCGTAACTGCGAATTTCAATGCTTTTCTTCGATTGCATTCCATTAAGATATTATAACTATCGGTTTTCAAATGAAACTAATTTTCATTTAAAAAAAGAGTATGCAAGTAATGTTTAAAACCTGAGTTAAAATTATATTCCGAATAATTCTTATTGGATGAGTTAAATCAGCAAGAATCAGTATAATATTTATAAATGACTAGTTTCGATGGTTTAAATCAAGAACCTTCTTTTTCAGCTGCAGAAGCTTAACTCTGTAACAGAACTCCGCCAATAACGTTTACTTGCTTGCCTTCACCGCCAATAACATTTACTTACTTGCTTTAACTCCGCCAATAACGTTTAAAAGTTCTGAAATCTATAGTGTTAAACGTTATGAGGCTTTCAATGAATTACGTTGAGTATAATTTTAAAAAGGCTTACTTTACTGCTCTGTCAGCTTTAAACCTGAAGCAATAAATCTATTGTAGTTATTAAATTCTGCCTTAAGTATAAATTTCACATGACTATAGTTTTCAAATTTCTTTTAATAGGGCTATGATAAGTAAAAATGTGCCAATAAATACAGGATTTATTTGATGTTAAAAAAATCATTTTAACATTAGGAAAAAAGGACGATCAAACATTAATGAAAATTTTCTATTTGCATGCTGATTCTTTGTTTAGGTGAAGCTTTCTCTAACACTTTCAGTACTGATCTCTTTTTTTCAGCTGACACAGGATAGCAGAGAACAATGATAGACATTCCTGTTATAGAGCAGTTTGGTTACTATTCTAGGAACTGGAGCCAGATAGATGCAGAGAACTCTTGAAACATTCCTAAAGGTATTCCTAAAGGTCCGCAATACTTTTCTGCTGCCATAGTAGTCTTGCAAACACTTGAAGGTTAATGCGATACGTTAGTATAATCCAGCCCTTACCGTAGCTCTACCACGAATAATGGGGAATTGTTCAACGATATTATGGATTGCTTGCGCATTTCTTGTCCTTTTCAGATAACCAAATGTCTATTATTCAAGACCAAGGCACAGTCTGAGAAGATAATTTTGAATCATTGTATTTAATTCCAACACATACACTGGTAGATCTTTAGTTATGATATCGGAAGTCAAAAAGACACTGCGAAATAAGTTTTTAGATGGTTATTAAACTTGCATAAAACTGATTTTCATAAGGGAAATGAATGGAAAACTATTACTTTATCAGTAATAAACCTGCTTTTAGTCTCCTATAACAGGCTAGTATTGAGAATCTTTCAAACACTGCCTCTGAGCCAATAAATATGAAAGATATCTAAATTGGATTTATCGCTATAAATTTGTTTTATATGTATTAAAATTCGTGGAAGCAAATTTTATTGTTTTCCCTGCATCTCTGGTTTGCATATTTTACTGAAACTTATGGCATGATTTGCTATTTCTACAGACCGCTTGACTAATACGGCGAGTTTCTCGAATAAAACCTGCGAACCCCCTATGAGAAAATCTGCATTTCCAGTTTAAAGCTTGAAGAGTAGTTTATCTGCATAATTTTTACATGCTAAGAAAGTAAAAGGTAACTAATTTTAGGAATACGTAAATCAATGAATTGGAAGAAACAAAGGGAAACGCAGAATTGTACACAAACCATGTGGAAATAAGGTAAAAACAGCTGATCAAAAACTGGTATTGAAGATATTATTATAGCATTTCCCAGGCATTTTGGAAGGACTCTTGCAATACACAAGGCATCATCTACAAGATTTCAAGGCTAAATTCGTATATAATTGAAACTTATATATATATTGGATTTTCAATATATAATCCTGTAAGTCCTCATAGTTTGTAATATTTTTTTAGTCTCTCGTTACGATTTTCCAAATTCCTTTAACGCTCTTAAATAATGACTTTAGCGGACAGGAAGTGCGGGTCCAAAATCTTCTAAATAAAGGGATAGGGAGGTTTGAGAATTGTTAGACTTTTATACTGCTCGACAAAGAATAGAACTGAATAAGGGAGTACTGTTGCACAACACAAACCAGTTATTTTATCGTGAGCTTTCAAGCCTAACGCGTTGAATTCTCTTCAGAAGTCTATTTAGTATAGCTATATAAAATATCCACTGCCTATCCCTCTCCAGTGAAAAAATATCACGAATAAGATCTTTATTCGAGATTTCTTAAATCTTAATTTCGGTGAAACTTCTCCAGCTCAAGCAAATTAATGTCTTTTTATCTTAGGATCATAAGCAAAGTATCAATATATAACTTCAGTTTCAGTTTCTTTAGAAACATTAAGGACTAGTATCTGCTGTTTGTTTCCAATCGGGAATTCCTTAAAAGAAAAGAAAAAAAATATAGCCATTTTTGGCTATATTTTTTATAAGTTAAAATATTTAAATTATTGTAAAGCATTTTTTTGAGGCGTTATGATTAACCATTAGCAGCTATTGCTTAAAATTATGAATGATTTTAAAATATTTTTGCTTTCTATCAGGATTAAAATTCACAGAAATATTTCGTAAAAAATGTAAAAGTCTAATTGCATAACACTGACACTCTTTGTATATTGAAAACAGTAGCAAATATACAACGTTAAAGCTACAGAACCTATAGCTAGAACATATGTGACACAGATACACATAAATACAAACATTAGGCTGATATTTTATGGTTATTAGTGTTTCTGTTTTCAACATTTAAAGATTGTCAAGGATGCACAATGCACAATTAGACATTCACAGTTTTTCAAAGTAACCCCGTTCAAAGCATGCGGCAATAAGACATAGTCTACAAACGCTGTAGAACAGTTCGACAAAAGTAGGTGTAATTTTTCATGAAAGGGAAGTACATTTAGTCTCAATCGCATGTTTCACAATATCTAATGACCGTGGCTTTTCACTGGAATTTTGTGAAAGTTTGTAAAAACATTTACATAGTTCTTCATTTCACTGGTATTCTCTTCCTGCTCCACCAGCCTTTCTTCACATCACACACAATTCATTTCTCCTATTAATTGTTGCATAATCTTGTGGTCATTACGATGCAGTTCTGATTTTCATCGTCTTTCCATCTGACATACATTCAGTAATGTTTTGAATTACACAGAAATTGTTCGAAACCATGTTTTGATAACTTCTGCCATTTCATGTGTGCTACTATCTGCCATCAGAGGAATTAAAAACAAGAGAATGCTTGCACACTCATTGTAAACCAGTGATTCTCAACTACTATGCCGCGGCATTTTAGTGTGCCGCAAGATTCTTGAAGTATGCCGCCAAATTTTACAAC